TACCATCTCACACCAGTTAGAATGGCAATCATTCAAAAGTCAGGAAACAACAGGTGCTGGAGAGGATGTGGAGAAATAGGAACACTTTTACACTGTTGGTGGGAGTGTAAACTAGTTCAACCATTATGGAAAACAGTATGGCGATTCCTCAAGGATCTAGAACTAGATGTACAGTATTTGGTTTTCTTACTCTAGCACCCAAAATCCATCCTCTGTCACTGTTGTTTTGTAAATTACCAATCAGGTCATCCCACCACACTGCTTCAAAAGATATTTAATAACTCTGGGAGGCAAATGCTTCTACTCTTCAGCATGGCACTTGAGACCTTCGGTGTCTGTACTTAGCTTATTTTTCTGGTTTTATCTTCAATCACTTTGGACCTTTCTAGCTATAGCAGATGTCTCTCTGTGTCTTGAATCTTTGTCGAAGTTTCATTTCACCCTGCCTCTGCAGATGTTATTCCCTCTTCTTTAAATGCCTATCTTTTTCTATCTTAAAAGATCAAGCGTCAACTTTTATGAGGCCTTATCCCAAATCTTGCTGGAATATGTCTCTCTCTCTCTCTTTTCCCCCACACACAAAGGTATGAAGTAGTCCTCCTTATCTTGGGGGATACATTTCAAGACCCCCAGATCCCTGAAATGGTGGCTAGTACTGAACCCTACATATATACTCTGTTTTTTCTTATACATACATATCTATGACAAACTTTCACCTTTTCATTGATTTTATTTTAGAGACAGGGTCTTGCTCTGTCGCCCAGGCTGGAGTGCAGTGGTGTGATCAGGGCTCACTGAAGCCTCGACCCCTCTAGGCTCAAGCCATCCTCCCATCTTAGCCTCCCGAGTTGCTGCAACTCCATCGCAGCTATGCAATGCATAACTCCATCACACCCAGCTAATTTTTGTATTTTTTGTAGAAACCAGATTTGCCATGTTGCCCAAGCTGGTCCTGAATTTCTGACCTCAAGTGATTTGCCCACTTCCGCCTCTCAAAGTGTGGAATTACAGGTACAAGCCACCACAGCCGGCTCACCTTTTCATGTAAAGGAAGCACTTTATGACTTCTCTTTGGCATATCCAGATTGCCAGCGTCCCTACCCTCACACTTTGGGGCCATTATTACGTAAAATAACGGTTACCTGAATGCAGCACTGTGATACCATGACAGCCAATCTGATCCCAGATATGGCTGCTAAGTGACTCTCTATCACGAGGGGAGAGCAGGGAGCATAGATAGTGTGATCGCTGGACAAAGGGATGATTCACCTCCCTTGAGGGACTGAAGGGGACTGCTTGAGATTTCATCATGCTACTCAGAACAGCACACAATTTAAAACTTATGAATTGTTTATTTCTGGAGTTTTCATTTTAATATTTTTGAACTGCAGCTGGCTGAGGGTAACTAAGACCATGGAAAGTAAAAGCATGGATTCAGTGGAACAACTGTGTGGGTACAGATATATATACACACACACGCACACATACACACATATATGTATATATAGATACATAAATCTGTATCATATACATATATGTATATACATGTATACATTCTTATGTAAACTAGACTATACATTCTTTGACATTAGGAAATGTGTTTTATCTATTATTTATCACCAGAGCCTAGATGGTCAGTAGGTTTTAGGTGAATCAATGAATGATATTTAAAGACAGTGACCACTTGGTTTCTATCTATCTACATTGAAGATGAAATAACAGAACTTACACTTCAACCTTTAGGTATTAAAAATAATAAGTTATATATTAGAATGAGTTGTTAAATTTTGTGGACTCTTGTCTGCATTCTTCATATGAGGACACATTTTTATTTGTCTAAGACAGCATAGGATGTCTTCTGCTTGGTTTTGTACTGCTAGATCAAAATTAACTTTCTTGGACCTGAAATAATTTTTTGGCTAGATTAAAATAAATTTCTCCAGGGAAACAATGCATATTCAAATAGCCTAATTTCTAATAATGCAGAGGACTGAAAACAGTTAAAGGAGAAAGATTTGGTTCAATTTTAATTATGACTTCCACTTGCTGATTATGTGATTTCTTTTTAGGACTTAACATTTTTATTTTAGGTCCAACACTAACTGTCAATGCTTCACTAGCATGACTGAAAGAAGTTGATCCTATATTTATATTTCTATTCTTATTACAGAATGGATTTAATATAGGTTAAGATGTTGAATAGAACCATGAACTGCATTTCACAAAATGGTGCATTTCACACAACGGTACATTTCATAAAATCTAACATCCCAGCAAAATGACAGGGACAACAACTTAGCATGCTGTTAATTTTTCACTTAACGGTGCCAAAATGATATTTCAGTCTTTTTTACATAGAAAGGTCAAATGTCATTCAGTGGTGCTCCTGAACACAGGCAAGTCATTTTCAGAGGTGAAAAAGCTGTGGTTGACTGCTCTTGAAACAGGTTTCTCTACAATCCACCTCTCATCTGGAGTTCACATCCTGCTACATGTAGGCAAGATACCCATCCTGCGCCTTTTAACTCTTTTGAGGGGCATACATAATGCAAGTACGATTAACTTGTTCTACAAATACCAGCTTAGGTGTCAATTTAGCATTCTGCAAATAATACTACAGAAATGGAATGGGTGATTTCTCCAACTAATAGGTCTCTTACTGAAAACATGCAAGCACATTTGTGTCTGTTTGGCTTAGTGCTGTATTCTTCAAAGTCTTGAGCAGGGCCTGGTGCAGACTGTATACCCAACAAATATTTATCTTATGAAAAAGTATAAAGTGAAAGCACAAAAGGGATGGTTCAGCAAGAGAAGAAAGATGAGAGGTGGATTACAGACATACTACCTGTTTCAACAGCAGTCAACCACAGATTTTCACCTACTGAAAATGACTGGCCTGTGTTGAAGAGCACCACTGAATTACATTCAATCTTTCTATTTAAAAGAGACTGAAACATCATTTTGGTACTCTTAAGAATTTCTTTTTAACTATTTAAATTTTTTATTTGTATAAATTTATGGGTACAAGTGTAATTTTGTTGCATGTATTGATTGCATAGTGGTCACCCTTTTAGTGTATCTATCACCTAATAATGTGCATTGTACCAAGAAGGAATTTCTCATCATCCCCTCTCCTTCCCCCATCTTCTGAGTCTCCACTATCGTTCCAAACTCTATGTCCATATGTACACGTTATTTAGCTCTTGCTTATAAGCGAGACCCTGATAATGGAAGGGAGATTGGTCAAGCTGACCTCCCAAAGTTTTCTCAACCCTGAGATTCTATGATTCTACCAGGCTGGCTCTCTTGTAGTGTTCTCAGAGAGAACAGCTACTAACCAGTGGTATCTGAAAACTTTAATCTTCTACTTCTGAAAAGGTATTTTCTTTTCTTTTTTTTGAGATGGAGTTTTGCTCTTGTCACCCAGGCTGGAGTGCAACGGCACGATCTTGGCTCACTGCAACCTCTGCCTCCCAGGTTCAAGCAATTCTCCTGCCTAAGCCTCCCAAGTAGCTGCGGTTATAGGTGTGCACCACCATGCACGGCTAATTTGGTATTTTTAGTAGAGATGGGGTTTCACCATGTTGGCCAGGCTGGTCTCAAACTCCTGACCTCAAGAGATCTACCCACCTCAGCCACCCAAAGTGCTGGGATTATAGGCATGAGTCACCGTGCCCGGCCGATAAGCTATTTTCAAATATAAATCATTGAACAATTATTTTAAAACTATTATTAATACCTAGAATGTGCATTTTTCCTTTAACTGGTTCAAATGTCCACCAGAATTCTGTTAGTGAGAGTGATATTCACATCTAGTTACAATAACGTATCACTAGCTTTACTTTTAATTGTGGTAGAGCAGCAACAGCCTCCTTTCTTTTTGCTTTGTTGATCATTCTATGAACGCTGGGCAAACTCTTTACTCATCTGTCAATCAAATACTTATTTTTTTAGAAATCACTGAGATTAATAAAATTTATTTTTACTCTGCACCAGATAGTGCTTATATTATTGCATCAATATTAACTGTTATTTCCTATTAAAATTGTAAATCTACTATTTACAATTATTCTTTTTTTTTTTTTTTTTTTTTTTTTTGAGACGGAGTCTTGCTCTGTAGCCCGGGTTGGACTGCAGTGGCCGGATCTCAGCTCACTGCAAGCTCCGCCTCCCGGGTTTCCGCCATTCTCCTGCCTCAGCCTCCGGAGTAGCTGGGACTACAGGCGCCCGCCACCTCGCCCGGCTAGCTTTTTGTATTTTTAGTAGAGACGGGGTTTCACCATGTTAGCCAGGATGGTCTCGATCTCCTGACCTCGTGATCCGCCCGTCTCGGCCTCCCAAAGTGCTGGGATTACAGGCTTGAGCCACCGCGCCCGGCTACAATTATTCTTTTGTGAAACTTTGGTTAAAGATATTCCCTTGAGACTATTTTAGTAGTAGTAGGTACAGCGATATATGAATGTAGAACTATCATATAAACAACTTACAAATAACGTAAGTCTTATTTATATTAGACCTATAGAAAAGCCCTGTGAAACCTATCACTAAGGATTATCGGAACACTCATAGTGGGAAAAGCATAAGGGGAAGACTGAACTGCTGATAGCTAAACTGTGACAATAGAAAAGGTCGTATCATAAAATATTGTTAGTATATTTTTGTATGTGTATGCAATTGGTTGAAAATCAGGCAAATTTTTGATAATTTTTGATAAATATTTGACAAAGACTTCAAATATGTCTCTTGTAGTCATCATTGTAGACATTTGTTTTGTTTAAATTCATTTGGCTTTAACCTCCCGCCCCAAAATTCTACATCAATACATCTCTCTTCCTATTCTTCCCAACCCCTCCAAAAAATAAAACCAAGCTCAAAGCAAGTCACAAACGTTTTGTACAAATAAAGCCAGTTATCTGTGGAATTGATGTGATAGGTCTTGAATATCTTGTTGATAATTAACCCAATCAAGTAACATTGCCAGGAAATCTTTATTCTTTTCCTTTTTTAAAGGTTCACAGACTTTATTTCTTAGAGCAGTTTTAGGTTTACAGAAAAAGTGAACAGGAAGTGCAGAGTTCCCATACACTCCCACTCCTGCCCCCTAACCAGTTTCCTCTATTATTAACATATTGCATTGAGGTGGTACATTTGTTACAACTGATGAACTGATATTGACATATCATTAACTAAAGTCAATAGTCTACATTAGGGTTCACTCTTTCTGTTGTATAGTCCTATGGGTTTTGTCAAATGCATAATGTTATGTATCTACCAATACAGGATAATACAGAACAGTTTCACTGCCCCCAAAATCTTCTGTGTTCCACCTATTTAACCCTCCCTCCAACTCCTACTTTTCTTTTTTAATACCCAAATTAAGCCACAGTAATATAAATTAGTTGGAGCTAAGAATTTGCTTAAATAACCAGTGATTCCCCATGGCAATCAAAATTTCTTAATTATTAATCTAGACTAGCACTGTCCAAAAGAAATATAATGTGAGCCAGTATTTAAAATACTCTAGAAGCTGCTTTAAAAAGAACAAGTAAAATTAATTTAATATTATACTTATCCCAATATATCCAAAATATCAATTTCAACATTAAGTCAATACGAAAGCTGAGATATTTTACATTTGGGGGGTACTAATTCTTGAAATCCAGTGCGCATTTGACACAGCACATCTAATTTCAGCCTAGCTACATACATTCTGAGTGTCCAATCAGTAGCCACAAGTAGCCAGTGACTAAGTAGCCAATACCTGTCAGGTACAGCACAGATTTAGACGTTGAGCAACTTGAAAGCGGGTTATCCTTTTCTCTCCAGGGCCTCTAGAGTAGGCATGCAGTGAATATTTTTGAAAGGTAAATCAGAAAGATCCTGATTCTTACATGTTCTGCAATTACTTTCTTTAAACTCTCCAGCCTCAGAAAAAGTGGAATGGGTATCATGCTTATTCCTGCGTATCAAACCAATGAGTATGGGGCTTCCTGACTCCCAGAGGGCCTGAATCATCCGAAATGTTGACTCATGAACCTAAGGTGACTGAAATGTAACGTGAACCAAATTAGCTTTCCAAGGCATCTTTGTATTTCCACTTTCCGGTCTCCCGCCGCCTCTCTCTTTGGGTGACTCACTCTCCTACCATGTAAGAGTCCAGCATCAGGCAGGGCCCCAAACTCGCTTTGGAAGAAGACCAGACTTTCAAATGGTCGGCCTCAGATCCCCAGTTAATTCAGCACAGCTGTTTTGCCTACCAATTCCAGGGGCTGCGGTTTAGACTGAATGAGTCTGTCAAAAAAACAAGTTTTTTCTTATTTGAGGGTGGTAGTAGTAGTGATGTGGTTTGGAACATTAAGTGAAAAAATAATATTTTATTTCAAGAATCTTTAAAAATCCTTAGGGCCCACTTCACAGTCCCGTTAATACCTTTCTCCAGTCGGGTTTCTTCCTTTCCCGGGAGGAAAGTTTCCACTCCCAGTCCCCCAGGATAACGCCCTTCCGGTGGCGCGCCAGGAACCGCGCCGACCCCTCCTAGCCAGCAGCCCGCCCCCTCTCCCAGTGCTCTACGACAGACGGACCCCCAGCTGCCGGCAAGGCCAAGACCCCACCCCAACTCACAGTTACCCAAAGTGGGGGTGGAGCTCCCAGCTCCCAGCACCGCCCATTGAACGCAATCCCCGCCGGTAAGAGAGAGGAAGTGCCGTAATCCCCACCCACTTTCATCTCCTTCCCTTTCCGTTGGCCTGGCTGGACGCCTATCTTCTCTATCCTGTAGCCGATTGGCTCTCTCCCTCCCGCGCCAGTCCCTGCCCTCCCCCGGGTAGGGTGAGTCACGCCAAACTGGGCGGAGAGTCCGCTGGCCTCTCTCCTAGCTCGTCTGGGCGGCGGCGGCGGCAACTGGGGACAGGGCGGGTGGCGCATCACCGGCGCGGAGGCAGGAGGAGCAGTCTCATTGTTCCGGGAGCCGTCACCACAGTAGGTCCCTCGGCTCGCTCGGCCCAGCCCCTCTCAGTCCTCCCCAACCCCCACAAACGCCGGCGGCTCTGAGACGCGGCTCCGGCGGCGGCAGCAGCAGCTGCAGCATCATCTCCACCCGCCAGCCATGGAAGACCTGGACCAGTCGCCTCTGGTCTCGTCCTCGGACAGCCCACCCCGGCCGCAGCCGGCGTTCAAGTACCAGTTCGTGAGGGAGCCCGAGGACGAGGAGGAAGAAGAGGAGGAGGAAGAAGAGGACGAGGACGAAGACCTGGAGGAGCTGGAGGTGCTGGAGAGGAAGCCCGCCGCCGGGCTGTCCGCGGCCCCGGTGCCCACCGCCTCTGCCGCCGGCGCCCCCCTGATGGACTTCGGAAATGACTTCGTGCCTCCGGCGCCCCGGGGACCCCTGCCGGCCGCGCCCCCCGCCGCCCCGGAGCGGCAGCCGTCTTGGGACCCGAGCCCGGTGTCGTCGACGGTGCCCGCGCCATCCCCGCTGTCTGCTGCCGCAGTCTCGCCCTCCAAGCTCCTTGAGGACGACGAGCCTCCGGCCCGGCCTCCCCCTCCTCCCCCAGCCAGCGTGAGCCCCCAGGCCGAGCCCGCGTGGACCCCGCCCGCCCCGGCTCCCGCCGCGCCCCCCTCCACCCCGGCCGCGCCCAAGCGCAGGGGCTCCTCGGGCTCCGTGGGTGAGTGCCGCGCCCTCTCGCTTTGCGCCGCCCCTCGCGCCCCTCCCTCTTTTGTGTGCAGCCCCAGATGCTTTGGGCTGGGCCATCCTGTCCGCCCCGAGGGGGCTTTGTCTGCAGACTTCGGGGCGATGGCGCCCCTCCTGGTTGGAGGCGCGGGGAGAAGGGTGGGGCGGCCCTTGGAGGCCGGGCTTGTTCTTATTGTCCGTCTTCGTTTCGGGGAACACGTGCACCGCACCCGGCTCCCACTTCTACCCTCTGTGGTGCCCAGCTTACCGATTCTCGGAAGTTAGGCACCCACCCGTAGTAGGAGCCGGGTGTGTACCCGGGAACCAGGGTTGTGGATTTATTGGGTTGGTTGGGCTTCGAAGTAAGGAAGGAAAGGCCTTGGCACCCAGACCTTTTTAGGAGGTGCTTTTGTCTACTCATCTGGGTTGCTCCTTTGGAAAAGGTGCAGTTCTGCTGCAGGTCTGTTGGCCTGCATTCGGCCCTGGGCTCCCTTCTCACCTCCTGCCTGGCGTGGGTGGCCCCTTTGCGCTTCCCCTCCCCCTCCTGTGCTTGTGGGGAGCTGGCCGAGTGGAAAACGTCCACATTGACCCAACCGCAGTGAAGGGAGAGCGCCTCCAGTGGTGTGGTGCGTGGAGAAACGGGAAGGAGAGAGTTCTGGTAAAGTCCTGCCACCGCCCAGCTCACCGGGGTGTGATGTGGACTGCTCCCCACCAGCTAAACCGAGCCAGGGAGAGAGGATCTGGGCATTGTATTCCGAGGGGGCGTAGTTCTGCCAGGGTTTCAGCTGCAGGGTCGGAGGAATTGATGTTAGTGTGGACTTGGCCCAGCCTCTTAGTGCATCATAATTGAATCTTAAAGAAAAAAATAAAAGGCAAAATGGTTGACATTCCTAAAGAAGGGAAAACCTGTGGATTCCTTGCCAGGAATTGGCTAATTGAACTCGTGGCAGATTTACCATGAGACATAGAGAAGTGTTTTGAGACAGACATTTTCATATATATTGGTTAGAAATACAGTTTTTCAGAAGTGATATGTTTTAGGTTACAGAATCAAAATACAGTCACGTGCCGCATAACGACGTTTAGGTCAAGGACAGACGTATATGCAACGGTGGCCCCGAAAGGTTATAATGGCCCCGAAAGGTTATAATGGAGCTGAAAAATTCCTGCGGACTAGCGACGTCTTGATCCTGACCTTGTGTAGGCCTAGGGTAATGTGTTTGTATCTTAAGTTTGTAACGTTAAAAAAAAAAAAAGTAGAAAAAAGCTTATAGAATAAGGATATAAAATTTTTTTTTATAGCTATAAAAGGTGTTTGTGTTTTAAGTTAAACGTTATTACAATAAGAGCCAAAAAGTTTATAAAATAGAAAAGTTACAGTAAGCTAAGGTTAATTTATTGTTGAAGAAATATATCTAAAGATAAATTTAGTGTAGCTTAACCGTAGAGTGTAAGTTGTACAGTAGTGCATGGTAGTGTCCTAGGCCTTCACATTCACTCGCTACTAACATCCAGAGCAGCTTCTAGGCTTGCAAGCTCTATTCATGGCCAATGCCCTGTACACGTGTGCCATCTTTTAATCCTTTGTACAGTGTATTTTAGGTATGTTTAGATAAGCACTACACAAATACCATAGTGTTACAGTTGCCTACAGTAACATTCTGTATAGGTTAGTAGCCTAGAAGCAATTTATTATACCATATAGCCTAGGTGTATAGTAGGCTCTACCATCTAGGTTTGTGTAAGTACACTGATGTTTGCACAACGACAGAATTGCCTAACAATACATTTCTCAGATCCTGTTCCCACTGTTCAGTGAGGCATGACTGTATGTATGGTCTGTAAAATAGTTTTCAAGTTCTTTCTTTCACCTAAGTCCCTGATTGTATATTATTATTAGGCCCATTGTTTTATTGCTGTTTTCATCTTGGGAAATTATTTTGGAAGGGAAAAAAATCACGTTTGTTAGAGATTGAGAATGCATAATAAATTAGATGCATTCATAAGTACTTGCTACTTCGGGGACGGAAAGTGTGTCCCACTAGCAGTAGGACCTTTAGGTATAAAAGGTCAAGAATCAAGTAGTGTAACTGCCTGCTTGGAAATCTTCATAGCCTTGTAGGATGTTAGAGGTGGATTATTTCTTAAAAGAAAATCAGTCTGATTTTTTTTTTTTTCTCAATTCACTTCTCCACAATGGGGAAAAATAAGCCAATTGTGATGCTTTTGAATAATATTTTGATGTTGATATACTCCTCACCCCCATACTACTCAAAACACTAATTGCCATATTAAAGGTCTTAGAAGATGAGGAGTAACAATCTTTTTCTTTATGAAAAAGACATACTTGAGGGAAACTGAGGCAAGAGAGGAAAAATATAAAATAAGTTTTTAAACAGAATTTTTTTTTTTTTTTTTTTTTGAGATAGTCTCCCTCTTGTTGCCCAGGCTGGAGTGCAGTGACACAATCTCGGCTCACTGCAACCTCCACCTCCCAGAGTCAAGTGATTCTCCTGCCTCAGCCTTCCGAGTAGCTGGGATTACAGGTGCCTGCCACCACGCCCAGCTAATTTTTGTATTTTTAGTAGAGATGGGATTTCAGCATGTTGGCCAGGCTGGTCTTGAACTCCTGACCTCCAGTGATCCGCCGGCCTCAGCCTCCCAAAGTGTTGGGATTACAGGCGTGAGCCACTGCACCTGGCCACAGGAAGTTTAATGATTGACAAAAGCATACTCATCTTGTATTGGTATGGGAACAAAGAAAAGAGTTCTGTCTTTGAACATTAGGGATTCAGGGGGTGACAGCACTCTCTTGGAATCTTGTGTGTTGGAATGCTGAGGTTGGAAGGCAAAGGGGAAAGAATATTGCCTGTTCAGAGTTCCCTAATTCCATATTGATGATACCTATTGGGAAACTTAAGTTCTATTAGTAAGTGTAAGAGCATTGTGATTATGGTCGTGGATAGTTAACCATTTTCAATATGTCTGGATTTCTTAATGCATTCAAGAGTTTGTTCATTAATTCAACCGATTATTGATTACCTACCAAGAGACAGGCTCTATTCTGAGCTTTGAGGGTATAGCAATAAGCAAGACACATGTTCTCACCCTTGGGAGAGTACAGATAATAAGCACGTAAAGAACCCAGAATAGCCGTGGTATGAGGAAAATAAACAGGATAATGGCATAGAGAATGATGGAGATTTATGGGGGCTTTTTAAGCCCCCATAAACACTAAGAAAGGCTTAGAAGGTGAGATTTGAGCTGCAGAGATAAAAAATTTCCAAGCAACTTCAGGGCAAACCCCTGAGGCAGAAATGAGCTCTTTGTGTCGGAGAATCTAGTGTAAGACTAGTGAGAAAAACTAGTGGGAGAGTGGAGAGGTGGCCTCACCCACCCAGATCACTGGGGGTCTCTAACAGGCGATGGTAAAAATGTTTAGCATTAAAAAATATATATATATGGTTATTAAATAATTATACTGTGATTTTGGAACTAAGATAAGTTTGGAAGATTCAGGGCTACTGAGAGGACTGATGTGTGAGATAAAGGTGAGAAATGTGCAGAGCAGGGTTAGAAGCATAGACTAGCCTACCTGGAAGAGAGGGTTTCTAGATCACTGACACTTGTCTGTTTAACATTGCTGTTTACATTATTTATGAGTAAGCCCTGATTTTCATCTGTTAATAAGTTGTAATTTTACTGTTTGCTGTTGTCAGCACATCTCCATCGCAATGCAGTAACTGATGTGAGACTAAAACCTTTCACTTCAGGGCCATTTTTCATGGAAAAATACTTGGCTTAGTGGTTGGTTAAGTTAGGCTTTGAGGATATGCACAGAAAACTCTGGCTAGAAATTGATTTGAGAGCAGTTGAAACATAATTAAGGGTGACTTCAGGCTGGTTTCTGGACATGTTCTAAACCAAGGTTAATTGAGACTGAAAATACATAGATCTGGATTCTGAAAGATACAGAATGCAAAATTAAGGAATTTGGATTTTATCATTCCACTTTAATCCATGCTCTGCTATCCAGTTGCCCTTGCTTTTGGTAATTTATATTATGAAACCAAAAATGTTTTTATTAATTGTTGTTTCTAAAGTTGTTATTTTTCACCCCCTCTTGAATTAGAGCTTTAGGCTTTGGGAAGACAGCCATTGAAGGTTATTTGAACCGAGCGGAGGCACTGGGAAAGCGGTGTTAGAAAATTGGTGACAATATTTAAGATAGGTGGGAAGGAAAAAGAGATGAATTATTTAGAAAGCTATTACAGTAGTTCTGAGACAGATGAGTAGGGCCTGAACTAGTTCATTATTTGTTCATTCAGTGAAAATGGAATAGAATAGAAGGGAGGAATATAAGAGTATAAGAAGCACGCTTTCTTTAATTGGCTGTGAATCTGTTTGTATAGTTAGGTTACAAAAAGGCTGTATGAAAGACGAATTGATAGGACTTGGAAACCATGAATGTAAAAACAAAGAAAAGAATATTAGTGCTTATTAAATCAGCTTCAGAGACTGCCAAAATTTAATTGCCATGAAAATTTGTGTAAAATTGAATATTGCTCATAAATATAGATTATGGGTTGGGGCTTAAAAATTACTAGTTTTTAGTATTGTAAAGCCATTTATTATATGATCATTTCTATTGGCATAGGAGCATGTATTAGAAATTTTAAGAGATTGTGTGACATATGGTTTAAATATTAGGTATCAGTTCTTAATATAAAGTCCAAGTTCCCAGGAAGTAAGTAGATGCTTCTAAAGACAAGAAAGTCATGCCCGTCCATTCCCCACTTTCATTTTTGTCATTCTGAATAATTTCTGGTTAAACCATTCCTTATTTTTAAAAGTTGGGAATAAGTAGTATCCTCCCTATGGATATGGTGAATTATGTTTCAGATTGGTTCCTCAGCACCTCAGTGTCAAATTTGTGTGTGTGTGTGTTTTTTTTTTTTGTAATTTGCAAACTCTCAAGTCCTTTTTAAAATGAAG